TGAAATGTCTTCGGTTTATCTGGTAATTATTTCACATTGAGATCAATGCTACCTCAAAATCTTCTGGTGAATCGTCACTTCTTTCTGATGACATATGCAGGACTTCTGCAATCATTTAGTTTGATTAAACCCCGCGCCTTTCTCCCTCCATCCAATCAACAACTAATGCACAGAACCGAGTCCCCACCCTACTTTTTTTTTTTTTCCTCCCCAACAATGACTCCATTGACTGCCATTTGATCATGACTTGAATTTTTCACTTTTTACCTTGCTCTGAACTGGGAAATTAGTTACACCTAACCAGACGCAATGCATTAACATGACGAGTAATAAAAACTGTATTACTGTCTGCTGCATTGCATGTTATAGCCCCGCCTACCATGAAAGCTCATTGGCCCAAAAACTCACTCCACATAATTAATATGCATGTTCTGGTTGGCTGGGATTGCGTTGCATTTTCATGTTCAGTGTGCACAGACTGAAATCTTGTTGCATCAAATGTTCTCTTTGTATGTTCATGCATTCTTGTATTCTTGTAGCTCAAACAGTAGAGCTTGACCTTAAGGTCATGGGTTTGATTTCCAGTAAACTAATGAAAATGTAAATAAATGTTTGAATCGGTACTTTTTCAACCTGTAACTCCAAAGATTGGTGCAGATGGATTGCAGGATTTTGTTTCAAACTTGACTTTGTTCTGTGCAACACAGAAGGAGCAGTTTTGAGTCATGTACTCATCGCTCTTTTGCATAAAATTACAATGAATGAGGACCGGACAGACTAAACAGAACAGACTAAAATTTACAGTACTGCATCAGATGACTTGGAAGAAGAAGAGCCATTTGTCCACTTTTGTAATATTTTAGTGGTGAAGTTTTTTTTATTATTTATTGATTGATTGTCATTTTGGAGTTTGACAGTCCTAGTCCTCTTTCATGTGCATTACATTAAATGTACAAATTCATACAAATTAGTCACCAATTTGCTGTAATGTAAATTAGTTACAAATTGCCATGAGATTGTGTTGAAGTAACGGACAAATATTTACACAATTGCTTCAGAAGACTTGGAAGAAGAGCGATTTGCATCACTTTAATAATAGTTTAACGCTGTGTTGTGTCATTTTGGAGCTTGACAGTCCTAGTTCTCCTTCATGCACATTCATTTTTGTTGCATTACTTTGATTCTGTGTTGCATGTAAGAAAGAGTTTGAATCGGTTCTCTTCAGTCTCAAACTCTCCAGCATTACGCGGGTGCTGTAAGCCTTTCCGTGACTAGCTGTCATTAATCTGACTTCTCTGGGGGCAGTACGTTGAGTGCATGCCAGCGCACATCGACAGCGGGAGAGATTGAAGAAGGCAGTGAAAGAGTGTTGGGCTGGTGGAGAGGGGGAGTCAAAACAGAGCAGCTTTTCTTGCTTTGTGAGCGCAGGCTCCGGGAGGTTTCCGGGAACTTCTAGAGGCCGCTTGCATTACGATGCGGAGAAGTGCAGGCCAAACAAACAGAGCTGCTTATCAGTTGTGCGGCCGAGACCACCCTCAGGAGAGAAACCGGCTCCCAGCGCCTTCCCACAAATCTAAAAGATTTTTTTGCACCCTCAGATTCCAGATTTTCAGATCATGCATAAATCCTAATTTTAAAAAAATTGACCCTTATGACTGGTTTTGTGCTCCAGGGTCACATTTCTTCAGAAGATTTGGAATAAAAAAGCCATTTGTAGCCATTAATAATAGAGCTTTTTTGGCATTTTGGAGCTTGAAAGTTTTAGTCCTCATTCACATGCATTTATGTTGAAAAGAACAACAACTAGAATGTTCTCCAAGACGTACAAATTCATACACATTAGCCACTAATTCGTCAAAATATAAAAATAGTTACGAATTGCCATTAGAATTTGAAGGAACAGACAAAAATGTACAGTTTTGCTTCAGAAGCAGGGTCATTTGGACCGCTTTAATACCGATCTGCCATGTGAAAAAGTTGAAAAGATCTGTCTGTTTCTTTCAGAAATCTGGCTATTGGCATTGGCATTCAGAACTTTCCAGAAGGCCTTGCTGTGAGTCTCCCGTTGCGGGGTTCTGGGGTGTCCACATGGCGATCCTTTTGGTGAGTCCAGACAGAAACACATTCACATCCAAAACCTAGTGAGCTGCCTGCATCGGTGCCCTTTTAAGGTGTCTTTGGCACTTCCAGTGCAAAGGCTGCTCCGAGCAGTTTAGAGACTGTAGTTTGCAGATAAGATGATCCTAGAAGCACTGCGCCAAGCTCAGTGGAAAAAAATGTTGACTGATAAGCCTAATCTGTTTTATTAAATTGGCTATAGTTTGGGGTCCAATCCATTTGGTAAACAGCCTTATTTGGTGTAAAATGTACCTTTGTGAAACTTTTTAAATCTGTCAGCTATGAGGTTCATTTCAGGTAGGGTTAGTGGTCAACAGAAATGGAGTTTTTTGGACGGCCAATGGCGGAGTTTGCGAGGTTCATTGATTTAAATATTTATTACATATTCAAAGACTCACTTGAAGTATAAAATTGCCTATTTGTTAAATGCCACAAATGTGTGAGAAAGTATCATAGTATTTGCTAGTAATTACTAATAATTAATTGTTCAAGTCTCGCTTCCGACACTTATCAGACAATCAGGATAAAAAATGTTTAAGTCCCACTTCTGACACGTATTGGCCAGACATACTTAAAAACAAACAAACAAATATTACTGTTTATATCCTGCTTCTGACACTTGTTGGCCAAACAGAAAACTTAATTTGAAACAAATAAATAAATACTGTTTAATTCCCACTTCTGACACTTATTGGCCAAACAGAAAAAAAACTTAATATAAAAATAGAAAGAAAGAAAGATTATAGGAAAATATAGAAAGAAAGAAAGATTACTGTTTAATTCCCACTTCTGACACATATTGGCCAAACAGAAAAATGAAAAACAAACAAACAAATAAATAATTAGTACTGTTTAAGTGCCGCTTCTGACACATATTGGCCAAACAGAAAAATTAAAAACAAACAAATAAATAAAAAAATATTACTGTTTAAGTCCTGCTTCCAACACGTATCGGCAAAATAGAAAAACTTTTTAAAAGAAAATAAAAATTACTGTTTAAGTCCCGCTTCTGACACATATGGGCCAAACAGAAAAATTAAAAACAAACAAACAAATAAATAAATACATTTGACTGTTTAAGTCCCGCTTCTGACACTTAAAAAAAAACGTAATTTATAAATAAAAATAAATAAAATAAATGTAAATGTAAAATTATAATAAAAAGCCAAATTTCGGCTAATATATCAGTCTTAGCAATATATTGGTCAGCTACTAGTTAGGATGCTGTCTTAGAAGGAAGCTGCTTGTGTAGGCAAACATTTATATATTACGGTTTAAGTGCCGCTTCTGACACTTATTGGCCAAAAAAAAAAAAAATTAATAAATAATTACTGTTTAAATCATGCATCAGACACTTGTCGGCCAAACATACATTTTAAATAAATAAATAAATCATATTTAAGTCATGCTTCTGCCACTTGTCCGCAAAACAGAAAAACATAACAAAAATAAATACATTTTTAAAAATTACTTTTTAAGTCCTGCTTCTGACACATATTGGCCAAACAGAAAAAATAAAAACAAACAAACAAACCAATAAATAAATAAATAATTAGTACTGTTTAAGTGCCGCTTCTGACACATATTGGCCAAACAGAAAAAATAAAAACAAACAAATAAATAAAAAAATATTACTGTTTAAGTCCTGCTTCCAACACGTATCGGCTAAATAGAAAAACTTTTTAAAAGAAAAGAAAAATTACTGTTTAAGTCCCGCTTCTGACACATATGGGCCAAACAGAAAAATTAAAAACAAACAAACAAATAAATAAATACATTTGACTGTTTAAGTCCCGCTTCTGACACTTAAAAAAAAAACGTAATTTATAAATAAAAATAAATAAAATAAATGTAAATGTAAAATTATAATAAAAAGCCAAATTTCGGCTAATATATCAGTCTTAGCAATATATTGGTCAGCTACTAGTTAGGATGCTGTCTTAGAAGGAAGCTGCTTGTGTAGGCAAACATTTATTATGGTCTATTTGTCTTAATTTATTCCTAATATGTCCTGATTGGTTTCTGAGACGTTCTAAAGCCTGCTAATGGAAGAGTTCAGAGCGCTGCAGTGTTTTGTGTGTGTGTGTGCCTCACAGGTACGGGCAGCTGAGTGGGATGGTGGAGCCTCTGGCGGGGTTGCTAGGGGCCGTTGCCGTGGTGCTGGCGGAGCCGTTGCTACCGTACGCTCTGGCCTTCGCTGCAGGAGCCATGGTGTATGTGGTGGTGGATGACATCATTCCTGAAGCCCAAGTCAGGTGAGCAGCAGCACAGCGAAAGACTGCCGATGCTCACATGCCACTGAATGTGTGTTTCTTTCACAGCGGGAACGGAAAACTGGCCTCATGGACGTCCATTCTGGGCTTCATCGTCATGATGTCACTGGACGTGGGGCTTGGCTGAGCCTTTTCATTGGACGAATCTTCGAATGTCAGCTGACTGCACTGAAAAAAGTGACCGAAGCAGCCTTTCTTCTCGGTGTATAGGTTTATTGATCAATGGAATATTTTTCTACTTAATGCATTTTATGTCTTTTTTTATTTGTTTTATATGGAAGCCTGTTTCTGCCACTGGTTAAAAAATAAAAAAGCTAATTGCAACTTTTTATCTCAAAATTCTAACTTTTTTTATTTTTTTGCGAAACAAAGTCAGAATTGTGTGAGATATTAAAGTCACAATTGTGCAAAAAAACAAACAGAATTGCGAGTTATAAAGTCACAATTTGGTGAAATAAAAGTCGCAACTGAGAAATAAAGTCACAATTGTAAGAAAATAGTTTTTGTCCCTCAAAATTGGACTTTGTAACTCACAATTGCAAGTTTTTGTCTCACAATTCTGAGAAAACAAGTCAGAATTACAAGAAGAAGAAATAAAAGAGTCAGAATTGTGAGATAAAAAGACAATGATCTTTTCTTATTTTTTATTCAATGGCGGAAACAGGCTTCCATAGATTTATGAATGACTCACGGACCACATTTATTCAGACAGGGCGGAAAGATTGATTGCAAAATACTTGAAAAATTATTCAAACTTGAATGAGTGACTCGAGGGGTTGTTTAGGTGTGTGTGTACATGAGTGTTTCCCGTCATTAATTTAAAGACCATATGCTCTCAATAATGTTGTGCACTTATTTGAATGAAAGGCAATGATGACTAAGTAAATTGGATGTTTTTGAACTAGTCTTTCCAGTCAGCTGTTTGCTTTCAAGTTATGAAATTAAGTTGTCATTTTATGGACAATGTTATGTTTTTTTTACAGATATGCAACAGGACTATGAATAATAAGGTGAAATGTAAGGTCAAATTCACACGTGTAAATGACGTAAAATAATTACTGTACAACCCATTTGTGTTCATTTGTTCTGCACTGTGTGTGAACTTTTTCATTTCATTGCTCAAACGAAGAAGAAGTAATAAACTGCTGTTGTTTTGGGGCTAACTGATGTCTTCTGGCACAGATTGTTACTTTAAGAGTAATTTAATGTTTTCATCTCGCACAGGGAATTCTGGGAATGACAATTTACATTTTTAATGTAAATTATACGATGACCTGTTCTTTTTCACTTTTAAAAACTGTAAACTTAATATTTCACTGTACAAATACATAAAATGTCCTTATTTCAGGTTCTGACCGTATACCACAAGGGAACAATCTTTTGCCGTTAAAATTACAATCAGTTTTTGCATCAAATGCATGGATTATGACATTCTTGACGGTAATTACATTAATCAAACTCAACAATTCAACACTGTTATCCAAGAAAAAAATTATCAATAATATTGTTATGTAACATTATTATATTATATCATATTATATTATATTATATATTTAATTTATAGGCAATATTTGGTCCCAAACTAGCTCTGAAAACTTAGTTTTTTTCCCCGTTTCTTTTTTAAATATAATATTTATTTTAATATTAATTGCACAATCACACAAATCTGTCCCAAAGGTTGGTAACATTAAAAAAAAATAAAAATTAGCAGCTTTAATAGATAATAAGAACAGCACATTTCACAGGTTGACATCTGAATATTTTCTGGATGATAATTACTTCAGACTCTGCTTTGTACTCTGTATTCATGGAAAGTGCCAGAAGTGTTTCAGTCAAAATATTATATGAACTACGAAGAGAATGCGGAGGAAACCCAATGTTTTGCTCTTGAAGTGGCCATTAGTCTTGTGGTTTCCTCTTGCAATGTGGCTAATCTACAACAACATGTTACTCCTGTGCATTAATGCAAAATCTTTTCCCTGGTGTAAATTTTACAATGCACAGTTCAATTTAGCCCGTCTGAACTTCAAGTGATCTCATTTTTGTCCTCCACCGCATAGCTTCGGTCTTTTGTTCAAACTGCACATTTACTTCTTAGTCCATCACTTTGTTGCATTATCCTACAGGGCGACCAAAGAAACTGAATGTCAAAATCCCATATACCAGTTGAATATGCTTCTCCATAAGCTTCTTACCGAGCTCAGCTGGATCGCATATTTATGGATCAGATCATCAGGCAATGCATTGTGGCAGCAGCTTGACGTGAACTGCAATGGATTCAATTCCAGCCCCTAAACTTTCTGATTATGCCGAGGTGGATAAGAAGGTTGCAATCAATATCAATATGCAATTCATCACATTAGAAGCCTTCCTTAAAGGGGTCATCGGATGCTACATGCACTTTTACAAGTAGTTTGAACTGAAATGTGTGTTGGCAGTGTGTGTACACAAACACCCTATAATGATAAAAATCCCCCCCCGGTTTTTTTTTATCTGGTTAAATGTTTTCCTCTTTCTCAAATCGAGCCGATCTCAGATGCCTGTCTGTGTGACCTCACACAGACAGGCCCCTCCCACGATAGTTTGATTGACAGTAGCGTTTCAGCACAGGACTGGCGTCTTACCTTAGACCCGCCCTGAGTGTGCTGTCATCAGTCCGCCATTGTTTCACCGCCGGAGCAGATGTAGACAAGAATGACTCCTAACAAGCGATTGAGGTGTTCTGTTGTTGGATGTAATAATGAACACAGCAGTCCTCATTTACTCCCGACATCTGAGCCGCTGAAGACGCAGAGGATTATTTGTTTCTGAAGGGAATGCACCCCCGATCTACATAAACGCGTGTATGTTCGCGCGAAATCATTTGTGATCCAGCCTCATCTACAGAAGAAGTGAGTATAAGGTTTTTTAATGAATCTTATTAGCTAATTAGCAAGTTTCAGGATGAATGCGGCTAAAGTAAACAATCCCTCAGACAGCGGCTTGGAAGAAAGGGGCGGAGTCAGCAGAGCTCATTAACATTTAAAGGAAAATGCTACAAAACAGCTTGATCTGAAAATAGTTGTTTTTGACAGGGTAAAAAAAAAGGTGTTTTTACACTACCATTGAGAAATTTTAACCAAACTATGTTATAGACTTTTCATTAAGACCCCAAAGAATCATATCAACTTGTGGAAAATGGGCATGCGATGACCCCTTTAAAATAATTCATTTTTGATCCCTCATTGTTCATTGGGAGACAGACCAACTGCTTGCACCGAAGCGCCCTTCATCTGTCTTTTGTTGAGTCAATAGAGCTCTGTTCTGAAAGTTAACTCCAGACTGGAGCTGGTTATTGCAATTAACAAAACTGACTCTGTCTTGAAAGTCACATCAGATATTATAAATGAACCGCACTGACTGAGTTTGTCATGTAAATGAAACCACTTACTGTAGAAAGCCAATTTTTTTTTTAAAAGCTCAGTTTTGAATAAATGGCACACAACAACTGTTTATAAGTCGTGCCGCCCTCATCACCCTGACCCAGATCATGAAGAAAGAGGCCTTTTTGTTGTGTTTTTCACATAACCTGGAATAGTGGGCTGCAGTCTTATGAGCTGTGGTTTTGGTTATGGCATGTGTTGGGCTTAAACAGAGAGACGGCTCACAATGTCTTTGTGTTTGGTCACACAGTAATGCAGCTTGGACGAGCTCACCAACCAAGAATTATATGTGTGGGTGAGCACGTATTCTTCAATAAATCATTGCTTTTGACCACATATGCACTAACTCCTACAGATTTACTTAACTATATAGTGTTGTAAAGCAAATAATTCTATCAAAACTAAATCTGAATGTATAATAAATCCTAAATATGCAGCTATAAAAAATTGGTACAAACATCCTCCTTCAGCTCGTGCTTCACGTGTCTTTTAGCTGTCAATCTTGACTGATTTTGATCAAGTAAGCGTCAGAATAGCTGCAGTCATATCTCCAGATGAACTCTTACTGCACTGAAGCAGCTCAGCTTTACTTGATTCTCCATCAATCATGTTTTAGAGTCTCAAATCTGATCCTCAGGATCTTTTGAGGAGCATTTGTTTCCAGCAGCTTTACTTTCACTGTTCCTCAGCGGAGGAATGATCTTCTCAAGCCTCCAGAACATCTCACGTCTTCTGAGGAGCCTTTATTTCTTCAGCTCTCAATCACTGCATTATATGTTTGGAGCATTTCAATCTCATCTTACTAAGACATATTATTGGAGATATAGAGCGACCACTGATTTACATGCATTTTATGTCAGTACCTACTTTTTGTCCATATAAATATCAGAATTTGTACCAAATTGGATATTTTTGTTCAGTTTTGAGCCAGTTTGAGGTGTTTTTCCACCATATTCTCACCGATTTTTGATAATTTTTGTACTTTTTGGGGAAATTGTCCCCACCTTTTTACACTTGAGTGGCTCCCAGTCTGGGGAAAAGCTTATAAATCTATCAGTATGCTATATTAATACCAAATATTAGCTTCAATTTTTAACTTTTCTTTAAATTAGCACAGGTTTTGTATTTCTTTTTGGAGCCAGGTTGTATACACAAGATGTTGAATTGAATATTCAAGACTCGCATATTTATTGAAAGGGGAAGAGAAACCAGTTTGTGTCTTGTGTAAAACATATTTTATTAGAATATTCATTGCCCAATTTAATAAATAATATTAGACAACGTTTTTACTCAGAAAATATACTAAAATACATTTTTTAGAAGAATTGTTATTATTGATTAAATTGAAATATTCTATATGATTTTTATCAGTCCTATTGTTGTTACTAGTATGTTTTTTGTATAGTGACCTCACTGATCTGAGCTCATGCACATTTGAGTAAATTATTATTACATTTGAGAGTATTATCCACAAATAATGCTTTGTTTCACTCGAAAACTGAGGTGCATACGATCAGATCAATAAGGGCTTACGACCAAAATAAATACAAAACCTGTGCTAACTGAAGATAAACAAGTTGATTCAAAGAACAACTATTAAAAATTAATAATCAATACATATTAAAAATCAATACATCTGATCTTCATATTAATATTAATGTACATCAGTACATTGGGCCTTATTTTTGCTGACTTTGTCTAGTGTTCAGGAGTGCAGCCAGAAGATGGCAGCAGAGCTCTATTACTAAAACCACTGGAGCAGGAGGTCATGCAGAAGCAACAGGTTTGTACATCTGGATTGTCTGTATCTCAGTGTGTTAGAAAATGAATAAGCACGTGACATCGGTAGACCACAGCACATTGTGACACCATTTAAACATCTCACCAAAATCGTCTCTCCTCAGCTGTATGGATTCAAGTGTCTATTTCCACTCTCTTGTGTTTGCAGGTATCAGTGATAACAGGTTTCTTCATCTACTTCCGTCACATCTTAATCATACTCTTAAATCCTCTGGATTACAGTAATATCTCAGTGTTTTAGTTCACGCTCAGCAGTCACGCTGAAACGGCATGCAGATGTGAACTGCTTACTTGCAAAGACATTTTGAAGTTCAACCAAATGAAGATTAAATTATTGTGTTTAATTTGACCAATTTAGACAGACTTCATGTGGGGTGAACTACTCCTTTGTCTCAGATGTTTCTTCTAGAACTCAATTTGGTCTTGGAAATTGTGCTGTTTCAGACATCAATGAGATGTCATCTGAAAAGGCAGTTCTTTTTTTCTCAGAAGATGAGTTGAGAAGTCTGCATTTGCGCTTCGTTTAATCTCACTGCTGTCTAGGAGAAGCGGCTCACAGATGCCAGGTCTGTGGGGTCTGTGTAGAGTAAATACACGTGTGATTGAACGCTCAGGCTAGTGATGCAACGTCAGACACGAGGGCTTCCTTCTGTAAGGCTCCAGGGTGTTTTTTTTTCAAGCATTTACATTGCGCTGTGCCAACTGGCTAACCAAGTCCATAAAGCACAGTAGAGCATTACTTTTACTATTCAGCATGCTTTACCGGCAGGCTTGCCGCTCCCCGCAGCTTTAGACATTTCAGGGCTCACAAAATTTCAAAATCGCTGGTAGACATTCTTCAGATTTTGGTAGCCCAAAATTAATTTAAGT